GTGGCCTTAGGGGTTCATTTCCTGATTTCTGAAACCTCGGGGAGAGATGCACAGTGATGATTCTGAGTTGGTCAAAATGGCTTCATCTACAGCTCATTGGCTGACAGTTCCAAACTTTGTGGCTTAAAGCAGGGTCATCAACAACTCAGCATAGATCCAGGCTTGGGACCTGAACCACCAGATGCTCCCCAGCCGAAATGACAGCTAGAGAGATAATGTACATATCGAAACTTTGAAAGGGCCAGATATGAAAAACTCACGTCCGGGGATGTGCATCCCAGGACTGCTGATGATGTTGGAAAATGGAAAAGCCTAGACATGGTCCTCATGGGAACTGACTCACGACAATATGGTGCATTCATGTGACAGAATACCCCACCACCTTCATGGATGATTTGAAGTACGTGTATTAATATGGGAAGAGACGTATGATAAACTCGTAGGTAAAAATACAGATTATCAAAATATAAATAACAGCGTCCCATTGGAACAGGCAAACATTTTTTTCGCATAAGTATGCACAGAAAGAAGTCTGAAAGGAGATCTCGAAACTGGTTCTCTGTGGGCTTCGAGACTGCTGATTACTGATATTCTTTTTCTTTCTGTTCATCAGCAATTTCCTTTTCTATAAATAAACACGGACTTTTTTTACATAACTATTTTTCAAAAACAGTAAAAGAAAGCAATGCATGGTTTCTAACTTCCTACAGTTGGTGCCCGAGGCACACGCTGTTTCTCTTGCTTCCTCTCCCCCTCTTCTCTGTACTTGATCTTCATTATCCTGATACTGTCACTTTGTTCCAAATGCCATTCCTCTGTCTCCCCTAGCAGCGTGTCCTCAGACCCACAGATGCTATGAAGGGGGGTGGAGGTGAAAGCAGCCGGGTCCTGAGGAGCACAGAGGCAGGAATTCTGGAAGAAGGGTGTGAGCTGAGACACCAGCCAGCTCAGGGGATGATGGGGTGTCTGGCTGGGGCACAGCCCTCTGTGGCCCCTGGAATGTGGAGTGAGGGTGCACTGGCCAAGATCAGAGGCCAGGCATAATGTCAGACAGTTTGACCTCATGACGTCACTCTTTCCTCACTCCTTCCCCAGTGAACTTGAGACAGGGCCTAAAGCTCAGATCAGCCATGTCTTTGCAGGGTGTGGGGCCCAGGTGGTCCATCGGGAGAACTAGCTCTGGTTTCCCCACCCGCAGTGGGCTGTGAAAGTCTAACCTCCCTTGAGGCTGTACTTCTCAGACTCCTTAGAGCCCCGGGGTTGTATGAAGCCACCAGACGGAAGAAACTGCACTTCAAAGAGGAAAAAAAAAAAGGTTTCACAAAGAACAAATGAGTTCATATTTGTACAGCAGTTAAAAAAAATACATATTTTTTGTTTGTTTGAAGATTTGGAAGGACTTGAAGCTTTCAAATTCTCATGTTACAGCAAGCATAAACCTAATACGGAGCAGAATGAAAATCTAGATGAATTTGAATGTTAAGTCCCTGGAGACATTTTGTACTTCCCCTGAGACAGTGCTGTTTCAGGCTACCCTCCAGATCCCTGCACACATTCACTCCTCCTTGAGACGCACTGGCTAAACAGATCACCAAAGTGTCTTATCTCCATGTCCCTAGGAGAGATCATTGACATCGAGGTCGGTTATAAAGCAAGGTGCATACATTACTGAGTCTTCCCTGAGCAGGGTTTGATGGAGGTGGGGGGCTTAAGCACTGTCTCCCACGATTTCCTGCAATGTTAACGTCTCCAGTTGATCAAATTAAAATCGGAGCCCCAATGAAGTTGAAATGACTTGCCTAAGGTCACGTAGCTAGTAAAGTGACAAGCACTGGATGTCCAACTTAAAGCCCGTGCAGATGATAGTTAAGCTAAAAGCACCTTTAAGAAACAAAGTGTTGGGTGCCTGGGTGGTTCAGTGGGTTAAGAGTCCGACTCTTGATCTCAGTTCAGATCTTGATCTCAGGGTCATGAGTTCAAGCCCTGCATTGGCCTACTAAAAAAAAAAAAGAAAGAAAGAAAAAGTGTTTCCCAAGCTACAACAGTAGGATGCAAGAAACACGACGGAATGTGCTGTTAAAAGCCATCATTCTCAGGGGCAGTAGTCAAAGGAGTTTTCATGTTCTACTTTCTATTTTCCTGTAATATTTGGGCTGTTATAACCAATATATTTTCTTTTTTTTAACTTTATTTGTTTATTTATTTATTTATTTGAGAGAGAGCGAGCGAGCGAGAGAGAGAGCATGAGTGGAGTGAGGGGCAGAGGGAGAAGTAGGCTCTCCACTGAGCCCACATGGGGCTCGATCCCAGGACTCTGGTATCATGACTGGAGCCGAAGGCAGATGCTTAACCGACTGAGCCACCCAGGCGCCCCCAATATATTTTCTTAATGGTGGTTGCCCAAGGATATCAAAAGGTTCTTCTTTAGACACTACCCCTAAATAGCTTCCCTTGGTCTGATATCAAGCTCACCCAGCGACCTTCTTGATTGTTTGGCTTTCCATAGCGCTGACTAGCAGAGGTGGGGCGGGGGGGCACTAGCCATGCTGACATCACTGGGTTGTCCACCTGATTTTCTATTTCCCATTATAAATGAGTGCAGCTCAACAAATGTTTCCTCCTCCATCCCCACCCTTCCTAGGGCCTAGTAAACACAAAGGAGTAGTATATGATGCGAGTCAAAGCAGCGGAAAGACAGAGAGTCCCTTTGAGCTTAGGAACACACAGGCATTCGCTCACTCTTGGCCACGTACAGGCTGATTGTCTTGCCAATGCTTGACCCTGTGTCCAACAGCAAGTAAAGGCTTGTTTTTTTCCATCTCTTGCTGTGTTACTCAGAAGTCTTTCTCATGCAAGGGACAGAAATCCAACTTGAGCTGGCTGAAGAATAAAAATAGGGGTGGATTTTATAGGTTAATATAACTAAAAGATCCAAAGATAGAGCTCTCAGGCCGCAGGTATAGCTGGATCCAGGCGTTCAAACAGTGTCATCAGGGCTGTTGTCTGACTCTCTTCTCAACTTTCTTTTGTGCTGGCCTTACTCTCAGGCAGGTTCTCTGCACCCTGTGGTCCTAGCAGCCCCAGGTTCCAGCCTCCAGTTTGGAGACCTAGCAGTAAGAGAAGCTTCTCAACAGAAGTTCCAGAGTTGAATCACATTGGCTTGGTTTAGATCTCATGCCTGTGTCTGAAATCAACTGTGGCAACCGGTAGGGTAGAATAAGCTTATCAGTCTGCCCTGAATCACATCCCCTTCCCCCTTCCACAGAATGGGAACCATGGGTCACCCGGGTGGCTCAGATGGTTAAGCATCTGCCTTCAGCTCAGGTCATGATCTCCAGTTCCTGGGATCAAGCATCACGTCTGGCTCCCAGCTCAGCAGGGAGCCTGCTTCTCCCTCTCCCTCTGCCTCTCCCCCTGCTTGTGCTCTCTCTCTCAAATGAATAAATAAAATCTTAAAAAAAAAAAAAAAAAAGAATGGGAACCATACAGAATGACAGTGGTCAGCAGTGGTTGCCTCAAAGAAAAGCAGGCCCGTGGAGAAGGGAAGATGGATGCTGGGCATGGGGAAAAAACTGTCACCCAGTGTCAGTGTCAGATCCGAGGCCCCCTTCAGCTTGACCTGCAGGAAAGCATTAGTGGAAAGACACACCCGATTGTCAAGCTGAGGGCCAAGAAGAAATACCTTGGCCAAGGTGGAATTTGGGGAATTGGATTTCGGAGACAGCGGCCTGGGGGATGGTGCAGGATGAAACAAGAGTTCCATGCCTGCCCCTCGCGGTGGAGAGAAGAGTTGAATCGAAAGAGCTGGACTCTGTATGGACCTCAGTACATGGCATGAGAGGTAAAGGCACGTCCTCCTGGAGTCGATACAGCCTACGTGAGCCATTGTTTTGAGGGAGTGGATTGTGCCACCCCACCCTCTGATGTTCGGGGCAAAGTAGGGGGATCATGTTTTCTTAACTGCACGTTGCTTACATCCATCAGTCCTACATGAGTCCTGGTAGGTGGAGTCGGCTGCCTGGAGGCTGCATGAGCTAGTGAGATTGAGTTCCTGGGAACCTGACCTTGGGTCCTGGTAGATTCCACAGGGCCCTGGCCCCATGAGAGTCCACTTGGGAGGCTGCCAGCCAGCTTGCCCTCACCACACCCTGTCTTTACTCCTGGGACTCACAGTGCCTCCCTTACAGGCTGTGCCGGGACCCTAGGAGATGGCAGAGGACGGCCCCTGGCACGGGGCTTGGCTCACAGTAACCCCAGATAAAGGGCGGCGGCTCTTACGACCACCAAGGATGTATGTGCTTAGCGCACAACAAATGGAACCGATTGTTAGGTATGTGGCCCCGAGTGTGATGCTCGTGAATTCGTAGCTGTTCATACAGCTGCTGGGACAAAAAAGGAACTGGCTACAGTAGCAGGTGCACTAAAGACCCATGAGCAGTTTGGGTTTGGGTTTTTCTGTGTCAGCCTGGGCTTTCTTCCCCCACCCTACCACCCACCACCCACTCAGAGTTTTCTTTCCCTTCACTTCTCTCTTTTTCACGAGGCCACCTGTAGGCAAATGTGCTCAGAGCACGAAACTGTTGTCCACCCATCTTGACATCTGGAAAGTTTTGTGTGAAACCTGGCTAGGGTGGTGTTTCTCAAAGTGGGTTCCCCAGGCCACCCACGTCAGCCTCATGATGAGATGTTTGTTAACTGTGCCCAGACGTTCTTAGATCCCATCCAGACCTGCTGGCGGATCACAGTCTGGGGTCTAGAGATCTGCATTTTTAAAGGCTCTAGGGGTGGGGGTGGGGTGGGGATCCTAACGCATCTCAAAGCTCATCAGCCACCATCTTGCTGGTGCTCCCGAGGCACCTGGTCCCCAACAGGAAAAGTCCTGACTCATGGTGCAGGCCCTGCCCCCTTCGGCCTTCCTGTCAGGCAACTCGAGGTCTCCAGGTTCATGAGTTACTGATTAACCCCAGGTTTCAAGAAAAGAAATAATAATAACTCGAGAGAAGACGTAAGCCAAGAAGCAGGCTGAGCAGCCCCAGGAGAAGGGGTGCTAGACGGCTGCTGTCACCAGGGGCCTGACGAGGAGGTGAGGGAGGCTGAGACGCCCGGCCTGAAGCCAGACCACATCCAGGTCCCAGTGGCGCTGGCAGACACCCCTTGTCCATGCCCAGGCCCTGAGCTGCCCCGTCCCCGCTGACTCCGCACCCAGAATGGCCTGCGCTGAGGTCCTGCAGACGCCAGAACCAGAGCAGCCCCAGCCCATCTCCGCAAGAGCCACCCCCACCACCCCTAAGGCCGCGGACCCTGCTGGGGGGCACTGGGGCTCCGCGGATGGCGGCTTGGAGTGCCTGGTGTGCCGGGAGCCCTACACCTGTATCCGGCCGGCCAAGCTGCTGAGCTGTCAGCACTCCTTCTGTGCGGTCTGCATCAAGCTCCTGCTGTGTGTACGGGACAGCACCTGGTCTGTTACCTGCCCACTGTGCCGCCAAGCCACCTCTGTCCCCGGGGGCCTCGTCTGCAGCCTGCGTGACCAGGAGACCGTAAGGGGGTGGCCGGGCCGGCCGGGCCTGGAGGTGCAGCTCTGTCCTCAGAGGCTGGCAGACTCTGCCACCTCAGCAGCGTGGCCCCCCGGCTCGGTGGGAGAGGATGGGCGGGATGTGGTCAGCGCCAACCGCATGGCAGCCCGGCGCCTGGCAGCACACTTGCTCCTACTGGTCTTGCTCATCATTCTCATCCTGCCCTTCATCTACCCTGGCGCCGTCCGGTGGGTGCTTGCCTCCGTTATCACCTTGGCCCTGCTTATGTCCTCCCTATTCTGTTGTCACTCCGGCAGCCAGGGTAGCTGCTGGCCCTCCCCCGGGACTCTTTTCTGCAGAGGACAGAAACACAGTGAGATCTCTTCCATCGCCTGAGTGCGCTCCAAAGAGAGGGCACCTGCTGCCTCTTGGGCCCCATTAGGCTCACAGTGAACAGGTGAAGGGGCTCTGAACTAAGGCTGCTTCCCTTGGGGGATTAAGTACCAGCTGGACTCACAGGCCAAAGCCAGGGGACTGCGTTGGGTCAAGAAAGACGTGCCTGGTTGATAGACTTATGTTTGCCCAGGGCATAGCTCGTCTAAACCGCGTGGGGTCCGGGAGGGGGCACAGATTACTTGAACCCCACAAGGGGTCTCCTGTCCCTCTTACTCTAATGTTCCTGGCTTTTCTTTATATACGTTGGTGAACTTATTGCAGAACAAATAGAACCGAGACTCCTTTTTTGCAATTTATGTGGCTGGTTTTATGTTCTCGCTTTGTTTTGGTTTGGTCCTTTGTGTTCGGGGCAGTTTGTTCAGCTCTGTGGCTGTGACACATTTTTCCTCCTGGGAAGTTGGAGCCTGAGGGAATCCACCTCGACAACAGTTCTGGTGGTTTGGGTGTCCCCCTGAGTCGCCCCCAGGGATGGAGGGGGAGAATTTGTGGGAAGGAGTTCTGAGGCCGCCAGGGGTCCCATCTTGAGTCGGCAGAGTTGGGGAAGGGTGGACGAAGGGGAGTCTGGGAATTGCTCTCAGCACTCCCACTGGATAGCCCAGCCCCATGTCACTGGGCTCTGGCTTCACAGAGAATCTCAGGGTTACAAGGACTCCTCTCACCCCCTGCCCAACAGCAGGTCCCACTGCCCATCAGATGTGCGGTCTCACGCTATAGTACCAGCTCTCTACGGGTGTTGCTTTTCATGATTGCTTTTCAATTCCCATCCGAGCTTTTGTCATAAAGATAAGAGGCCCCATAAATGCAATGGTTCTTGACAATAACCGAACCTCTCCCACCTCGCTCTGACGGTCACAGCTGTCTGAAAGGCGGCTCTGGAACACAGAGGAGGCTTCTGCTGGAGGGAATGACTTTCCATGGTTGCCAGGATGGGGTCTCAGCCAGAGGGGGGACTTGGGCGGTGCAGGGGGATTGGGGGGTGCAGGGGGATTGGAGGGTGGGAGATGATGCCTTGTTTCCCTCCAAAGGCCTCATAATTGGGAAGCAGACTTGAAACCTCAGAGAGGCTCACTGGGCAGATCCGTTGTCCTTTCCCTGCCCCGCCTTGCCTCCTGGGAGGATGACAGGTGCAGGATGGCTGCTCATTCATGGCGATTGTACCTCTGTCAGAGAGGGATGAGAGAAGTCGACCACTAGAGCCCAAAGGGATGATCCTGGCCCCATGGATATGTGTTGTCGAGCAAGATCCTTTGTCTCTCTGTGTTTCATTTTCCCTAGAATGAGCTAATTAGACTGGATTATTATTCCTAAGACCCCTGAAGTCCAGGAACTGAGACACTGCTGGGCCCCTGAGCAGTGCTCGTGAGTCACATCCCCTCTGGGCTCACACAGAGAAAACTCAAAACATAAGAATTTATGCAAATAGCTGTTCTTGGAATCTGGGTGCCTTCCCTTGTTTCTTGTAAAGGTATTTCCAGGGCAACTCTGGGATACCCATGCTATCGGCCATGTTTACTCCTCGTGCTGAGAGTGTGTGTGAATGTGTGTACGTATGCATGTTCCCACGCTCTTAAGCCAAGGTCAGGTGGGCCTGAAGAACACCCTGTCTTCCCAAGATGAGCAAATGATGGAAATCATTCAGCATTTCCCAAGCTGGCCTCGGGCATGTACCGTTTGGGATGGTTGCCAATAGGATAGGGAAAGAACATTCTCTCCCCACTCACCTCTACTCACATCCCATCTAGTTCTTGGGCCCTCCACCATGAAGAAAACCTCCACCAAGATTTCAGTTGCCTATGACAACCCCATTTCTAACATCCTAATGGCAGGCACATATTTACTGAGTTCTTAGGTTGTGACAAGCACCACCCTAACTGCTTCACATGAATTATCTAGCAGAGTCTTCATAACAGCCTTAGGAAGTAGAAACAACAACAACCTTGCCAAACAACAAAGGTTGGAGAGGTTGTGGAGAAAGGGGAACCCTCTTACACTGTTGGTGAGAAGGTAAGGTGGTACATCCACTTTGGAAAACAGTGTGGATGTTCCTCAAAAAATTAAAAATAGAGCTACCCTATGACCCAGCAATTGCACTCCTGGGTATTTACCCCAAAGACACAGATGTAGTGAGAAGAAGGGCCATATGCAGCCCGATGTTCATAGCAGCAAAGTCTGCAATAGTCAAACTGTGGAAAGAGCCGAGATGCCCTTCAACAGACGAATGGATAAAGAAGATGTGGTCCATTTATACAATGGAATATTACTCAGCCATCAGAAAGGATGAATACCTAACTTTTACATCAACATAGATGGGACTGGAGGAGACTATGCTAAGTGAAGTAAGTCAAGCAGAGAAAGTCAATTATCATATGGTTTCACTTATCTGTGGAACATAAGGAACAGCCTGGAGGACATTAGGAGAAGGAAGGGAAAATGAACGGAGGGAAATCGGAGGGGGAGTCGAACCATGAGAGACTATAGACTCCGAGAAACAAACTGAGGGTTTTAGAGGGGAGGGGGGTGGGGGGATGGGTTAGCCCGGTGATGGATATTAAGGGGGGGCACGTATTGCATGGAGCACTGGGTGTTATTCAAAAACAATGAATCATAGAACACTACATCACAAACTAATGATGTACTGTATGGGGACTAACATAATAAAATAAAATTTAATTTAAAAGAAAAGAAAAGAAAAAAATTTTCTTGCCAATGAAGAGACTGAGGATCAGAGAGGTGAATTCATCTGCCTAAGGTCACACAGCCAATCACTTCCAGAGCTCCCCAAGGAATTAATCCAGAGCTCTTTCTGTTCCATCAAGCTGTCTCCTTTGTGTGCCATTCCAGAATGACCAGGAAGCTGGTTGCTGCCTGTAGGCTTGCAAGGGAGAACAGGGAACTACCCTCAGGAGGCTCTGAATTCTAGTGGTCAGGTGCCCAGAGCGGCCACAGAATTCCAGAACCTATGGTCTATGCTAAAGAAAAAGGAAAGGGGCGCCTGGGTGGCTCAGTCAGTTAAGCGTCCAACTCTTGATTTCAGCTCAGGTCATGGTCTCAGGGTCATGAGATCAAGCCCTGTGCTGGGCTCTGCACTAAGCATGGAGTCTGCTTGAGATTCTCTCTTTCCCTCTCCCTCTGCCCCTCCTCCCATGCACACTCTATCTCTATCACTAAAATAAATAAATAAAATCTTTTAAAAAAAGAAAAGAGAATGATAAAAATGGAATGGCTTTCCTATAGACTTTCACTACCCAGCCCCAACCTCCCCTGCAGGAAGCTGCATTGGCACGTGGCCCCCAACCAGTGGGCCCTCTGTCCCCCCCAGGGCGAAGATGTCCTGACGCTGCTCTGTCCACCCCCTTGGAAGCTAGCTGGTCCCAAGCACCGTCTGGCCCCTGGCCATCTGCACATGGAGGGCACTAGAGGCCGATACCGGTGTGGGCTGTCCTGGAGGGCTGGGGAGAACAGAGGACACAGGCAGCACTGGGAAAGGGTGCATGTGGAAGAAATCAGAGAGGCAGGCTAAGCCCAAAGCTAAGCTCTGACCCAGTGCGTGACCAGTAGAAGTTATGGAACTTCTCTGAGCCACACTTTGCTCACCTATAAAGTAGAGGAGAAGGCCACACACTTGCCAGGGCCCCCACAAGGATTCACAGAGCTACTGGATGAGAATCCCAGGCCCTAAAAGTCGGCCTTTATCATCAATCAGCGACCCTCATGGGTAAATGGGCTTCTTGGGGCTGTTCAGTGTGATAGCGGGCAGGGGCCTGGCCTTGATAGTGGGGTGAAGTCAGCCCAGAGTGGTAGTGTTGTCCAGGCCAGTCTGGTAGAGAACTTGGCGCTTAGGTCCTAAGGACGAAGAGGGATTGCAGGCAGAAGTCAAATTTCATCCTTATTGGACCATCTCCCTATTCTGTGGCCTTGGAGTCAGGCATAGCTGGCTTGATCCCAGCATCACCATTCACAAGCCACCTCACCTGTCTGAGGCTCAGGTTCCTTACGCATGAAATAGAGATTATAGTACATATCTCATAGGGTTGTGGGGGAGTGATGAAGTAGCCCATGGCTGAGCCCTTGGGGGTCACAAGGAGTTAAAGAAGGGAGGGAGAAGACAAGGAGAAAGAGATGGGTTGAGTTCTAGAAAGAACTAACAGGAATGATGAGGACAGACTCGTCTTATTTTACCCAATCTATTGATAAGGAAGTCTACTAAAGCCTGGGCACTAGAATTCATCTCTTCTGTTACCAACTTCATCAGCAGCAGTGTTGTCAACAACAGTTAATATAATAATCACTAACGTGACCTGAGTGCACTGTGCAAAGCATATTACATATGTTATCACATTTGCTATAAGGTAGGTACTATTATTAACCCCCAAATTACCAACAGGTAATCTGAGGCACAGAGAGGTTAAGGAACTGGCTCAAGGTCACACAGGGAGGCAGTGCTGGAGCCAAGAGTGCACCGCAGAAGTCCACCTCCAGAGTCTGGACTTTGAGTCACTTAGCTGTATCTGATGGAACATTCCCGGCATATCATGAGTGTTCAGGTATGTGGGTGCCCTGGCCTGAAGGATAAAGAATTAAGAAAAGATGGGGTTCCTCCATTTGGTTACAGCTTCCCGACTTAGTGGGTGCTTGGGACACAGGGTTGTGGGAACCTACCTGTCCCATTACCCACAGGCACTTTCTCATCTCACCTGACAGCCCCTGTTCACTGTTGGAACCTCTTTTCAAACGCCTGGAGGAAATTTTTCAGCCTTTGCTAAAGCAATGAATTCTTAGTGGCAGAGGAAAGCATTTCCAGCAATGAAGGACCGGCCTGACATTTCTCAGGCTGTAGGAACAGCATAGAACATATTCAAAGAGAAATCAGAAATTTTGAATCTGCCTAGGGCTGTTCTTAGGAACTTTATATTCTTGTCTGAATATATTGAAATTACCTTTTTAAAAGGGGGGGGTGGATATTTCCTGGGTCAGTAGACAACTCTCTGAAGAATTCAGAACACTCTGGAACCTAGGATCTATCCATGCATTTATTCAACAAACATTTATTGAGGACCCAATCTATGCCAGGTATTTAATTTCATTCCATAAGGAAGTTTGATGAGGAAGGAAACCTACTATATGCTGAGCACCTGGTAGAGGTTGAATTGTGTCTCCCTTTTAAAAAGAAAATATGTTGGAGCCCTAAGCCCCACTACCTCAGAATATGACCTTCTTTGGAAA